AGAAATTGAAATTAAAAATAAATAAATTAGATTAAAATATTTTAAGTCTTTTTGTGTATCTCCAACTCTAGCTCCCTTTCTAAGCACTGGATAGGAAGCAGAGAAGGAAAACAGGGAGGGAGGAAGAAGACAATAAGCAGAAGTGTTTTGAAGACTGTAAATACTGCATTTATGAATTCAACGATATTATTATTTTATTATATCCAGGAAAGTGGCTGATCTTATTATTTAATTAGTTGTAGAGTATGTCCTTCTCATACTCACGTCTGGTTTTATATGTATGACTGTTCCTCCCCAAGGCCTGACAGTTGCTAAATGAAGCAAATCCATCTTAGTAAGCAAAAAGAACAATTTTTGCTAACCTAGGCCTCGTTGACAAGGGAACGAAAAGCTTCTTTATTCTGACCCCCAAAAAAGAAAATTAAAACAGAACAAAACAAAACGGTAACAGAAGGAATCTTTCTAGTCTGCTCCTAAAGAATGTAGAGAAGAGTAACATTATTAGCTATTTCCGGTTGGGTAAGGCAGGTGAAAACCTTCATGTATGAGTATTTATGAGTGAAGCCCAATTTCTCTCAAGATGCAGGGACATTTTAGATATTTTTGCCTGGATTTGGAATGAACACACACAAGGAAAATATATTTCAATAGAGCTCAGTATTTCTATACCAGCTGAGGTCAACAAGGAGACATAGTCCTTGTTTTTTTTTTAAATTCTAGTTAGGATTTTGGTAAGAAAGAAATAAGAGAGTCCCTTTCTTGTCATTCTGCTAAGCACAAGTGTTCCTAAATCTAGTGTTGCTATGTTTGTTGTTTTCTTTGTGAGGGTAGCCAACTTAAGCTCAGTTGCAGGAAAATGGAAGAAGCAAGAGAATTGCTCACAAGGTCTAAGGATGTTGGATTATAGAATGATCAGAAATGAAATGTAGGTAAGGAATGCCTGCATACACAGACCGAAGGCACTGTTTGGTTTTGGAATAAACTCTTCAAGCTAGTAACAAATTTCAAACAAATTTGAAAAAAATAAACAGCACCATTTGTTATTTCCTATGTGAATTTGTAAGGGAAAACCAACGAGTCCATTGAGAAGCATTCATTTCCCATCTTACCTGTGTCCCTTTTCTCCACTAATTTATGTACCAGCAACCCAGTCACCCACTCTTGTGTCTGTACATGGTGGGCAAACAGTAGCAGTGTCTGCTTCCTCAACACTACATGAGCAGATCTCTGTTCCATACCCTTAATGACAGTGATGGCAAAGGCTATTTTCCACCGCCCATTGATGTTGAAGTATTCCAAAATGTGCTGGAACTTCTCAGGGATCAATAGAGACATGGCAGTGGCACAAGTAGCAGCATGTAGGCCTCCTGTGGAAGAGTCTCACCTGTATTTTAATCTCAGAGAATATCCCCTCCCCATCTTTGGCCAATCTGGAACAGGAATTGATGATGTGATAGGTCTGTCAGCCTTCTCACTTGTTCTAGCAATAGGATCCTTGCTGAATGAAGAGACCCAGATCTTAGGGGTTGAGTGGTTAAGTTCGCTTTTGTGTTTCATGTGAAAGAACCGTGCTCATGTGCTCTATTCCATTGCCTTAGACCATGGGTAAAGAAGTACATCTATCATCCTTTATGGTAATTACAAACTCTCTGATGCAGATTTAAGTAATAATACTTCAAGCACTTGAATGTGAGTTCCTGATAGAGATGCTTCAAATATAGATGTTTACTCCTAGGATTAGCTCAGCTGGTAAATTTCCCACTTAGAGTACACATTTCTTTTTTTTTTTTTTTTTTCCTTTTTCTTTTTGGAGATTTTTGCTATAGGGCACATGTGCTTGCCAGAGAGACAGAGAGACAGAAAGCAAGAAGTCAACCTGGGGGAGGGGCAGGGGGCAGATTTGGCCACGCCCCAATTCCTTCTCCTCCATTCTCCTCTCGGGATCTTGGACATGCATGCACATGCGTCCAGTATGAATTTTAAGTCACCAGGTCTGGGACTCAAACCACAGTCGATTATGTGGGAGTCCAATGATGTAAGCCTTATGCCATCTGTTGGTCCCAACACAGTGTACATTTCAAGATGATTTTTTAGTAAATTCACAGATATGTCCAGTTATCACCTCAAAGAGGAAACCCGTATACATATAATGGAATACAAGTCAGTCCTAAAAAGGAAAAAAATTCTGACACCTGCCACAAAGTGGACATTATGCAAAGTCAAGTAAGCCAGTCACAGAAAGACAAATACTGTGTGATCCTACTTAAATGAGAATCTAGAGTAGTCAAATTCATAGAGACAGAAAATAGAATGATGATTGCCAGGAACTCAGAGTACAGGGGAATGAGCAGTTACTATTTAATGAGTACAAGTTTTAATTCTACAAGACGAAAAGAGTTCTGTGGTTGAATGATGGAGATGGTTGCATAACAATGTGAATGTAGTTAATGTCACTGAACTGTACTTAAAAATGATTAAGATGGAAAATTGTATGTGATGTGTATTTTAGTATAATTTTAAAAATAATCCTGTACCCTTTAGCTATCACTCCTACTCTTGCCTCCTCTTAAGACCTAAACAACCACTAATCTGTTCTCTGTCTCTAGTGATTTGCCTTTACTGAACATTTTATACAAATGGAATCATATATGGCAGGGTTTTTATTTTCATTTTTACTTTGCTAGAGGGCATGTGCACTCACTAGAGAGAGACAGAAAGAGTGAGAGTGAGAAAACATTCCCAAGTTGCCTCTCAACATGCCTCAGTCCCTTCTCCTCCATCTCTCCCTCTTTTTGGGATTTTGGGCATGCATACATAGACACTCAGCATTTTTCTCAAGCTGCAGGCCCAGAGCTTGAACTGTACAGTCAGCCATATGGGATACAGCTGCCTTAACCACCATGCTACTGGCTGGCCCTATATTGCTGTTTTGACTAGCTGCTTTCACTCAGAATATTGTTTCAGGCATCATTTATGTTGTATTCTTAGGAGAGGAATTTATAGAACATAAAGTAACTATATGTTTAACCATTTAAGAAACTTCTTGATTGGGGGCTGGCACATGGCATGGTGGTTAAGGACACTGGACTCCCAAATGGCCAACCGTGGTTCAAGTTCTGAACTTGGTGGCTTACTCTATCACTTTCTCTCTTTCTTACTCTGTACCTCTCTGGTCAAATTAAAATAAACAAATAAAGTTAAATAAAATAATAGTTATTAAAAAGTAAACTTCTTGACTCTTTTCTGAAGTGGCTGCACCATTTTTCATTTTCTCCAGCAGTGTATGAAGGTTTCAATTTCTCCACATCCTTGCCAGCATTTGTTATTGCCTGAATTTTGTTGCTTATAATCATTCCAGTGCATGTGAAGAAAGATTTCATATAAAATATTCTAATATGGACTTATTGGCCATTTGTTTATTTTCTTTGGAGAAATGTCTATTCAAATTCTTCACTCATTTTTAATTGGGTTATTTATATTTTTAATATTGAGTTGTAAGACTTCTTTAAGACTTCTTTACATATTATAATATGTACAAATTCCTTATCAAATATATGGTTTGTAAATTTTTTTTCTCATCTGTGAGTTGTCTTTTTGCTTGATTGATAGTGTTCTTTGGAGCACAAAAGTTTCTAATATTGATACAGTCCAATTTATCCATTTTCCTTTTGTTGATAGTGCTTTTGGAATCATATCTATGAATTTATGGTCAAATTCAAGGCTATGAAGATTTATCCCTGTTTTCTTCTAGGAGTTTTATAGTTTTAACTCTTATTCAGGTGTGTGGTTAGGAGTCACTTTAGTCTACTACATCTGGCTATGCAATTGTTCCAGTACCATTACTAAAAAGATCTTTCCTCTTCATTAAATGGTCTTGACACTCTTGTCAAAAATCAGTTAACCTGGACCCAGAAGGTGGCATGGTAGATAAGACACTGGACTTCCACATAACCAACCACAGTTTGAGTCTCAGATCCAGCAGCTTGAAAATCACACCAGGTGCATGTGTGTGTGTGTATTCAAAATTCCAGGAGGAGAAGAGAGGGGAGGGGATTGTGGCATGGCTGTCCCCCCTGGGAGTGATTTCTCAGTATCCCTCTCTCTGTCTCTTTTGGCAAGCATATACTTCCTATGGAAAACAGAAATCAGTTAACTTTAGACATACAGATTTATTTTTGAACTCTTTTTTTGTTTGTTTTTTGAGAGGTTTTTGCTATAGGGTGCATGTGCTTGCCAGAAAGACAGAGAGACAGAGAGACAGAAAGCAAGAAATCACCCCCCCCCCCGGGGGGATGGCCACACCACAATCTCTCCTCCTCCATTCTCTTCTCGGGATCTTGGGCATGCACACACATGCACCTGGCATGAGTTTAAGCCACCGGGTCCTGGACGTGCACCACAGTTGACAACATGGGAGTCCAGCGTTATAGCCGTTACACTAACTGCTGGTCCCTGTTTTTGAACTCTTCTATTCCACTCATCTAAACATATCCTTAGGCCAGTTTCACAGTCTTGATTACTGTTGTTTTATAACTTTTGAAATGGAAACGTTTAAGTTCTCCTAATTCATTATTATTTTTAAAGATTGTTTTGGCTATTTTGGGTTTCTTGTAATTTCATAAGAGGTTTAGAATCAGCTTGCCAATTTCTTCAAAGAATCCTGCTAGGATTCTGATAGGGAGTACTTTGAATCTATAGGTCCAGTTGGGAAGTATGGTTATCTTAACAATATTAAGTCATCTGGCCCATGAACATGGGATGTTTTTTCATTTATTTCTGTCTTCTTTCATTTCTTTCAGCAATTTTTTTTTTTTTTTAGTTTTCAGAAAATTAGCTTCTCACTTCTGTAGCTTTATCCTTTTTTAATTCATTTTCATTCTGTTCTAAATGGAATTGTTTTTAAAACTTTATTTTCAAATTGCTCATTGCAATTGTATAGAAATACTATTCTTTTTTTAGTGTCCTGCAACTTTGCTGAACAAGAAGAAGTTTGTCCTTGCGACTCGGGCTGGCAGAACCCGCGCCATGAAGTGCGTGTTCGTTACTGTAGGGACCACCAGCTTTGACGACCTCATTGCGTGTGTGTCGGTGCACGACAGTCTGCAAATAATCAAGAGCCTTGGTTACGACCGACTTACCCTCCAAATTGGTAGAGGAACAGTGGCACCTGAACCATTCAGCACCGAGTCCTTTACTCTGGATGTTTACAGGCACAAGGATTCCTTGAAAGAAGACCTTCAGAATGCAGATCTTGTTATTAGTCACGCAGGTCCTGGAAGCTGTTTAGAGACTCTGGAGAGAGGAAAGCCACTCGTGGTGGTTATAAATGAAAAGTTGATGAATAATCATCAGCTGGAATTGGCAAAACAGCTACACAAAGAGGGACATCTCTTCTACTGTACCTGCAGCAGCTTTCTGGGCTGTTACAGTCAATGGATTTATCAACACTGAAATGTTATCCTCCTGGCCAGCCAGAAAAATTTTCTGCATTTTTCGATAAAGTTGTTGGATTACAAAAATAAACACTAAACTCTCAGCACTTTTAAAATATCCCCTAAATCCAGCCTATGAAATGTGATTAAATCAAATTAAATATATCTGTAGACTAATATAAACTAATAAACTTCCTACATATATAGAATATATAGAAAATTTATGATACAACCATTTGCATTTGGGTCTAAATTCTAATTTGGTAGTTAAGTAAATTTACTAGACTTTCCTTGATCCCCAACACATAGTAAGCATTCATAGGTTTTGTCCTAGAATTTCAAATGGATTTAGAATCATGAGAACAGTGAATGAAATATGAAAAATGCAACAAGAACCATAAATGTAATTAGTTCAATGTTTCTTAGAATAAAAAATGAAATAGTAACAACTTTGAAAAATTTGGGCAGCCAGCTCGAAGCCTAGCTGTTAAGTGAATGGGCTCACACATGGCTGACTGGTTCGGATCCTAATCCTGGTGACTTGAAAAACATGCTGGGCTATGTGAATGCATGCTCAAAATCTAGACAGGATAGAGAAATGGAGAAGTAATTGTGGGATGCCATGCTCCATTGTGGGATGGTTTCTCTGTTTCTCTGTCTTTCTCTGGCAAGAACACATATTGCAAATAAAATTAATTTTTCCACTAGAGTCAGAATATTTAGCTTCCAAGTCCATGGAACCAAATTAAAAAGAAAAAAAAAAACTCTCCCGTCATGATGGATTTTGTGCTCTGTGAAATATAAAAAGCTCAATAATATCCTAAAAGAGATTGAGTCAGTTGATTTATTGTACTTGGAGAAACTACTTTTATCCAGAATAGAGTGGAGTGGATATGTTTACTTTTTTTTTCCTCTAAAATATAAAGTGACAAAATAATCTTGCCCAATGTGAAATTTTTACTAACAAGCAAAAAAGAAGTTTGTTCAGTTTATTTAGCTCCTGCAACCCTTTGGTTAGCTCTGATCAATGTAGGTTTTTTTCTTTGTTTTTATTTCTGATATATTCTTATTTTCTGGCACTATAAAATGTTCCATGATAATCATGTATAAGGGGAGTTTAAAAAGTTTTTGGAAAAGTAGAGTATGAGTATGAGTTTATTTTGGTGCCAAAAAAAAAGGAAAAGAAAAAAAAGGTGAAATTGGGTTGACCCTGTAGCTCAGCAGTTAAAGGAGCTAGATTTCTCATGGTCAATTGGTTCTAATCTTGGCCCTGGAAGCTTGAAAAATAGGCTAGATACATGTGCAGGTATGCCCAAAATCTTGATGGGATGGAAACAAAATGATTACAGTATGACCATGCTTCATTAGTGAGAACTTTCTCTCTCTCTCTCTCTCTCTGTCTCTCTCCTTCTCTCTCGTGTATGTGCCTCTGGCAATTAAAAAAATCTATATTTGTTTTCTCTTTTTCTTGCCCCTCCCCTTTTTGCCATAGGGTGTATGTGTTTGCCAGAGAGAGACAGAGAGACATAGAGGGAGAAGGAGAAAGCACCCCCCCCCAATATCACATGGTCATAATGTAATCCCTTTCTCTCAATTTCTCCAGCAGTTAGATCTTGGTTACACACACATGTACCCAGAATATTTTTCAAGCTGCCAGGGCCAGGACTTGAACCATGTGGTCAGTTACATAGGATCTGGCTCCCTTAATTACTAGGCCATAGAGCCAACCTACTAGTTTTTCATAATACATATTTTCTATGAACTTTATAAAGGCCTCTCATATCTTTCCTGTTTTTGTTGTACAATCAGTTATTTCTCCAAGGAGTCCTAATTTCTTTTATTGGAGAATGGTATTAGAAACCAAGATTTGGGTGCTTGGTGTGTCCACACACCCAAGCTCCCTGGGTGATTTTTCTGCACCCCAAAGGCTGGTGAGCTCCTTGTGACCCAGGAGGGTCACAGTAATTTAGAAGTACCACCAGCCCTGTTGGGTAGCACAAGTGATAGTGTACTGATCTGAAGTGGTGGCAGTCCCCTGGTCAACCCAGCTTCAGATCCCTGGTCAACCTGAAGCATCTCAGGTGTGCATGCATGTGCTCCAAATCCTGACAAACAAGAGCTGGGGGAGTATTACGGCACGATGAGACCCAATTTAGGACACCTCTTTCTCTCTGTGCATATGCACACACCCTCTATCATAAATAATAATAATAACGTTCTGGCCTCCAGGTTCACATTTGTTCTCAGAGACTACCGAGTCCTCCTTAGAGCTTGGAAAATTCCAGACATTTATTAGCTCTCCTTGAGGATTGTCATTTCTTGGAACATGATGTTTGGCAGGAAGAGGGAGAAACATGACTTCTCGCATTTGATATTTATTTTGAACTACATGGATGTACTACCCAACTAGAAACTGACATAAAATTTTATATTGAAACAATGAACAGGAAGAAACTGAGAGTGACTTAAAGACTGGACACTCAGGATATAAGCAAAAGTTTCTCTCAGCTCTTTGAGTGTTTCTGCCCTAGGTCAGGAGTCAGCAATCTTTTACTGTCCAGAACCAGATAGTAGATGTTTTCAGCTTTGCAGGCTGGACTGTCTCTGTCACTACTCAGTTCTGCTGGTAGAGTGGGAAGGCAGCCATAGACAACACACAACCCAATGAACATGGCTGGGACCCAGTGCAACTATTTACAAAAGCAGGCTGTATGTTAGGTTTGACTAGGGGTTCCAACACACTCCAGATGAATGTACACATTCAAGAAAGTAGACAAATGCCTTGTGCCTTGGCAACAAGCACCTCTACCATTAGAGTGTTGTGGGGGCCCAGCATGGTCACTTCTTTGGGGTGAATAAGAAGGTTCTGCCAGCCTCACCCTCCTGGTGCAGAGATAGATTACTTACTTGTGTGATATGCTGCTGCTCATTTTGTTTCCTTTCTATTTTTTTTTTTTTTTGAGATTTTTGCCATAGGGCACCTGTGCTTGCTGGAGAGACAGAGACAGAAAGCGAGAAATCACCCTCTGGGGGAATGGCCATGCCAGAATCCCTCTTTCTCCATTATCCTCTTGAAATTTTTGGCACACACACACACACACACACACGCACCCAGCATGAGTTTCAAGCCACCAGGTCTGGGACTCGAACCACAGTCCACCATATGGGAATCCAGTGCCTTAACCCTCTGCCACCTGCTAGTCCCCATCTTGTTTCCTTGATGTGGCTGATTTTTAATCTAGATGAAATTCAGGACAACATGTTAGATTCCACCCCAACTCTCCTATCACTCCCAAAATCTTGCTCACATAATTTGTATCTCTGAAAGGAATTGCAACGAGGTAAGAGGGGAGATGCTGACCTGGTCATGGATTCCAGTTAAAAGTGCACATCAGTAGCAGTCAGGAATCTTGGTTGCAGGAAGTGAAGGTAGTTTCAGTGGTAGCATAAGGCTCTGCAAGACTGACCACATAGGAGGGTTCCAGATTCATACCTGTACACTTTTGTGGACAAGCTGGGTACATGCATATCCATGATTGGTTGGGGCTTCCTGAGGCCAAGGATGCCAAGAACCTGTTGGGTACACTTGTCTCTCTGTCTCTCTTGCTCATGGAAGAATGAAAGAAAGAAATTCAAAGAAAGGGAGGAAGAAAAAAAGGGACAGAGGGAGGTAGAAAGGAAGGAAGAAATCTTGGTGGAAAATAACAGACACCAACCCTGACCATGAGAATCAGAAAATTGAGCATGTAAACAGGCTTCTTGGGGCTCAGGGAGCAACATGGGGAACCAGGTGTGCAGAGGGCCAGGGTGCAGCAAGGAGACAGGCTGAGCTGTTGGCTATGGGGACCTGTGCCACTTGCCCCCACCCCCATCCCTGGGGCCCCTGCTTGGTGTCAAAGTGTGGAGGACAGTCTCTGCAGAACAGTGTGAGCTGCATGCTGCCCATTGCTGCAGTAGCAGTGGAGAGATGATGGAGTCCCTCTGTTCTGTGGTCCAGGATGCCAGTGCTTCCCCAAGGCTACAAGCACAGTAGAGCAGAGATTGCCCTAAAGCAAGGTTAGCTTGCAGATAGGAAAAGAACAGCTAAAAATGTCACCGTCCACTGAAATGCCCGTCTAGTTTAGACCCATGCACCCAAATTCCATGGTTTTCTGGTATGAAGGTCAGACCCATTCTGAGCACCAAGAAGTGAAGAACTATGACATAGGTAATCTCAGCTGGGGCAGTTATGTTCAACTCTCACTTTTCTAAGGTATCCTGTCTTGGCCCCACATGACACAGATGCCTCGCCTGGCATTAAGTTAACCCCTGAGACTCAATTGGTTAACGACCCTTAATAGGGTCATTGATACTAATTCATGGGTCATAAGCCAGCCAGAGGTGTGGTGTAGGTGGTTTCCCACATGGCTGACTGTGCGATTTGAGTCCTGAACCTGGTTTCCCACACGGCTGACTGTGTGGTTTGAATCCTGGACCTGGTTTCCCACATGGCTGACTGTATGGTTTGAGTCCTGGACCTGGCAGCTTGAGAAACACACTGGCAGTATGTGTGTGTATGGCCAAAATCCCAAAAGGAGGGAGAAATGGAGGAGAAGGGATTGTGGCATGGCTATCCCCCATGGAGGACGCTTTTTCATTCTCCCTATCTCTCTCTCCATTCCTCTCCAATAAGTGCACAAGCCTACTGACAAAAAAAAAAAAAAAAAAAAAAAAGCAACACAATCTCCATTTTTAAATAAAAGAATTAGAAAAAGATGAAAAAGATCAGAGACCTCTGCACACAGTAGAAGATGGTGTTTTAGTTTTAAATGTGTACACATATTTTGGGTCATGATGCAAAATAACTTTTGGGTGTGGTAGTTTAGTTCATGACTCACATCCCATATTAATTTGCTGGGGCCGCCATAACAGAAAACCACAGACTGAGTGGCTTGACCAACAGACACTTATTTTCTCACAGTTCTGGAGGCTGCAAGTCCTGGATCAAAATATTGGCAGGTTTAATTTCTCCTGAAGCTTCTCTCCTTGGCTTATAGATGTCTGCCTTCTCTCTAGTCTTCACATGGCTCTTCTTCCCTGTCTGTGTCCAAACTTCCTCTTTAAGGACATCATGGGCCAGCCTTGTGGCTCAATAGCTACAAGCCGTTCAGGAGAAGCTGGATCCAACCTGGCAACTGTGGTTCAAATTCCAAGTTTAGTTGGCTTTAAGCACTTCACACAGGTGTACAAGTGTACAAGTGATGAACTGGAAGACTGCAGGAGGGGTTCATGGTATGAT